AAAGCAGTGTTTGGTTTTATCGTTTTCTTTATCTTCTGTTTTCCATTTCGTTGATTTCTGCTCTTTATTATTCCCCTTTTCTCTGTGTACTTTGGCTTTAGTTTGCTCTTTTTCTGGTTCTGTTTGAGACATTTCTTCTTTCCTTATGTAATCACTTCATGCTATAAACACTGCTTAGTGGCTTAAAATAACAATAAGTAAATTGAATCCCTTAGTGTGAACTTGAATTCATAAAATAAAAATTCACTTGTTACATGTGCGCCCCCTCGACTCTCCAAGGGAGTGCCGTGTGGCGGCAGATGCTGGAAGGGCGAGGGGACTCGCGGCCGGGAGCCGGGAGGGCGGGTGGACGGGTGGGTGGTGGACGGGTGGGGGCGGCCAGCCGCATGGGGAGGACAGGCCCAGTCGGGCACAGGAGAGGCCCTGCAGGCATGACAATGCCGGAGGACAGACGGGAGGACGGGAGTGACCCAGCCCCCGGCCGGCAGCACCCACGCTGCTCCTCACGCACGTCCCACGGCGCCGCACAGCCCCGTGTGTGCTCTCCGTCCTGGAGCCCCAGCGACGGCCCCTGGGGAAACGAGGCCTCCCTTCCTCCCGCCCGCCCCGCCCCGCCCGCGTCTGCTGGCCAAAGCCACAGGCTGTGGGGCTCGGGGGCGGAGCTTCACCCTCTCGGCTCAGTGCTGGCCGGCGACTCCAGGTCCTGAAGCCACTTCGCACCTGGCTGCCGTCCCTTCTGGGCCGACTGAGCCCCGGAGCCAGAACATCCGCTCAGTCACGGGGCTTCGAGCGTTCCTTCTGGTCCCGGGGTCCGCGCTCAGCCCCGGGGGTCCGGCCCCCTCTACCCCCTTTTCTCTCGTTTCTGATGCGTTTGGTCTGCCTCTCACTCCCAGCTCCCGTGCTGGGTCCCAGGCTGAGACTCGGGGCTCGGGGCACGCCGGCCTCCCTGCCTGGCTGCCAGCGGGCCGAGGAGGGAAACCGAGTCCCCACGGCCCCAGCAGGTGCCACCGGGTGCTGACCGGACCTGGTGTGACTCAGACTCCGCCGCTGTCGCTTGGGGTGGGGTCTGCTTCACCCCCACAAGGGGCAGCGGACATTTTCATCGAGGGCCAGCGGGGAGCTGCGGCCGGAAGTCCGTGTGATGCAGGCTCCACTGCCGGCTTCTCCCTGCGGCCCTGGCCCCGTGGGGGTCCCTCTCTGCTCCAAGCTGGCACTGCTGGGCTCTGACTACCTAGGGCCTGGGCTAAGCCAGGCAGCATGTGGGGTCTGCTGGCGGCCCTGGGCGCTTGCAGCCCTGACAGCCACGGGCAGGGGACCCCCAGAGGCACAGGGACCACAGGCCACCCCTGGTCCCCCTCCCGCCTCCGCACGTGGGTGTGTGAGGTGACACATTTGGTCACTGTTTAGGGCCGTGAGAGCTGGGTCCTCCTGCTGCCCTGCTGCTTGGAGCAGGGCCTGGCTGCAGTGGTGAGTGCCCAGGTGCCCGTGCCTGCTCAGCACGCGGCCCCCGACCCAGGGCCCTGCAGCTGCGTCCGTGGGGCTGCGAGGCAAGTGGCGGTGTGCACCTCCTGGGGGTGTGGTGCTGGGGCGGCCTCAGGCTGGCCTCCCAGGTAGGCTGGAGCTGGGGCGGCCCCCCGGGACAATGAGCAAAAGGGAGGAGGGCGCACATCTGTGACCAGGGCCAGCTCGGCCCCAGCCAGGGCGCCCCGCGGGGGCACAGCCTGCACAGCTGCCCCTGCAGGCCACGTCCAGTGTCACAGCCCAAGCGCCTGCCTGTCACGGGCCGAGTCCGACTCGCAGAATTCCGGTGATCAGAGCTGCCTTGTGGCGTCCAATTGCTGACCTTTACTAACCACAATGTTTAGTTTCGCATCAACTCAGCTGGGCCACGGGGTGCCCATGTGTTGGCCAAACATTATTCCGGGTGGGTCGGTGAGGGTTTCTCAGACGAGGCTGGCAACAGGGTCGGGAAGCAGACAGCGGCACCCAGTGCAAGTGCCCAAAGGGGGCAGGTGGAGGATGGGCAGCTGCGCTGGGAGCCCCTGCCCAGCACCAGCTCCCCGAGACCCCAGCTGACCGACGGCTCCTGGAGGGACCTGACCACTCCAGAGCCACCTCCGCAGTCCCCTCGGGTCTCCCCTCTCTCGCTGTGCCAAGGGTTCCGTTTCTTCGGAGAGGCCTGCCGCCGGCGGTGGCGAACTGGACGCAGGGAAGCAGCTCACAGGGCTGACGGGGCCGGGGGGGGGGGGCATGGCAGGTCCCACTCCGTCCCTGCAAACCGTCCTGCTCCGCCTGCTGTGGTCCCGGCTCTGCCTCGGCCTCGTGGTCCCCAGGCCCCGGGACGGGTGCGCTGGCCCCTCCGTGCGTGGCCACCGTGGAGGAAGGCCAACCGGCCTCCGTGGCTGGCGGTGGTCCGGAAGCCGTGAGGCGGCCCGGGTCTGGCCCCCAGCCAGTGACTGGCCGAGAGGATGGGGCTGCGGTGGCTCAGACTGGGCAGGCAACAGCCCCGGGGCACCCCTGACCCGTGGCCCGTGTCAGTGTCCGAGGGCAGCCTGGCCACAGACAGCGAGCGAGTGGGGGCTCCACGCCCTGGGCACGTGCTGTCTCTGGGGGCAGCGCCGGGGCCAGTTCCCTCTGGGCACCCGACGGGCACACGTCCCCAGCCTCTCTGCAGCTGGACGGTGACCGGCTTCCAGACGTGTCGTCCCAGCTCGGCCTCCACCCGCCAGTGGCCTTGGCCCCGCGCCTCTCCCAGGGAAGACGCAGGGCCTGGAGCAGGGCCCAGCGCGACCCCGGTGGGCCCTCTTACACTGGCTACATCTGCAGAGACTTTATCTCCAAAAAAGTCACTGGCAGATTTCTGGTTAAAAAGGGAAAGGCAGGAGTTAATTCACCGCAGCCTTCTCAGACAAGGCCCTGGGCACCGAGGGACGTCGCTCCTACTTCCCTGCCCCCAGGACCCCGGTGCACGCCGCTGGCCCATTTCATGCCGGCTGCATGCTGTCTGGCTGGCGCTCACAGCCTTGGTCCTTCTTTGATTGAGTGAAGCGAAGTCATCAGAATTCCGTGAGTCTCAGAGGTTCTGCCTCCTTCTCTGGACGGTGTCAGCTGACGCCCAGCCAGGGGGCAGGCGGGGTAAGTGAGGCCCTGGCCAGCACACAGGCCACGCCCGCTGTGGAGCCCTGTCAGCCGTGAAAGCGCTGCCTCCAGCGCCTGTGCGGCTGCGCCCAGGCCCGGGTCCCGTGCTGCGACCCCTGTGAGCTTCGTGGCCACGGCCTGGCTTCCCGGCCGTCTGCAGGGGGAGGAGAGAGCAGAGGACGATGGCTGGCAGATCCGGAGGGTGTGCTGCAGCACCCAGCGTGGGCCTCAGGGTGGGGTCAGCTGAGGGTTTGGGGAGCACCCCCAGAGAGCCAGGCCCCCAGCCGCCCCGCACTCCCCGGCCCGGACGCAGGGTGCCTGGGGGCAGGGCTCCAGAAGCCGCGGGGGGCTGAACGCAGCGGGAGGCGACTGCAACCCCGGCCCCGATCCAAGCGCCTCACAGGGCCGCCCCCACCGCTCCCCACCCCCAGCCAGAGCCCGCTATTTTTAGGAGAAGCGGGGCCTTGGAGCAGAGCCCTGAAAGGAGCGGGCTGCGTGACTCGGCGGAGGCAGGAGCGTCACGGCACCCTCGCCCGCCACCAGCCAGCTGGGCCATTGTGGCCGTCACAGCTGCGGGGCCCAGGGCCCCTAGAAGGTCCCCGGGACCCAGCGCAGAGGGCACCCCGGCCTTGCATGCCGACGGCGTGCACACATGTGCACACTCACAGGCACACACACACACCACTGAGTGCTGCAGACGTCAGGATCACGCAGAAGCCCCGTGTCCTGATGGGCAGTGGGGTGACAGGCCACGTGAGGGAGACACAAAGCCACCGTGGCCCGTGCTCCTCCATCGAGGTCTGTGGCTGCGAGGGGCCAGCATCCCTCTGCCTGAGGGGCTCTTCCGGCCCCTCTGTGACCAGCCTGCTCAGCATGCTTCACGGCCCCCGCTTCAGAAGGTGAGTCCCGACAGCAGGTGCCGCTGGGCTCTGCTGAGTGGTGTGCACCCAGGCTCCCCCCGGCGGACAGAGCTCCTCCCCACAGCCTTCCAGCAGCCCATGGGTGCACGTGCACACGCACACCCAGTACACACACCCGTGCACGCATGTGCCCAGCACACCTGTGCATTGGCATGCACATGCACTCACTCATGCACTCACACATGTCTGCACAGTCTCTTTCTGTGCAGGGAAGGACACTCCTGGGGACCCGCTGCGACTGAGCCTCCTCCCGCATGGCGGCTCCCAGGGGCCCAGGGCAGGGACCCAGGGAGCTGGCTGCAAGGGGCCTGCTGCTGCCCCAGCACACGGTCCTGTGTGAGGCACGGATGCTCAGGAGCGACCTCGTCTGTGGAGCACGGCAATGTGGCTGTGCACAGACAAAGGTGCGCGGTGAGGAGGAATCGGGCAGAGCAGTGGCCGTGGCGGCGCTCGTCCGGACCACGGCACAAAGGGCGCCAGCTCCACGGAGAAGCCCTGCTGTGCGTCCTGGTGACCGACCGTCCTGTGCAGACCCTCACCTGCCAGGCTGAATGCCCGGGGAGCCTCTTCACCAGCAGAGGGGACAGAAAGTGCGTGTGAGCCCTCCTGCCTCCACACCAGGTGCTGGCCCACCTTCCTCCCTTGTCCCCGGCTCCCTCTGTGGGAATGGGGCCCAAGCTGCACCTGCACACCCGCCACATCCCCGCGGGGCCCCTCCCCCTGCCTGGGACTGGGGTGCATCTCCTCAAGGCAAGCTGGTGTCCCACCTGCCCAGCACACCTGAGCCCAGGTCTGGGCGCCAAGGAGACCTGGGGCTACCTGAGGGACCAGGTGGAAAGGGTCACTTCCCTCACGGGAAGCCAGCACCTGCCCCAGCTGCTCAGGATCCCTGCCACAGGCAGGAGCCCCCGAACTGTCTCCCGGAGCCCCGTTCTCCCAGGGGAGGCAGCGAGTCCAGGGCCCAGGCGAGGGGGGCAGGCGCGGGTGAGCCAGCTGGCGTCCTCCCTGGCCTCTAATCAGCACTAAGAAAGGCTTTGCTGATGACAGTGTTTGCGGGCAGCCCCTGTGCACCGGGGGACGACAGCGGTTCCAGGACAGGCGGCCGGCCACCATGAGCCTCAGCGAAGAGCAGGTGAGGCGGTACCTGGACCAGAACCCGGGCTTTGCGGAGCAGTACTTTGAAGGGAAGAAGCTCAGCCCCGAGGATGTGGCCCAGGCCTGCGAAGACGGGCTCCCGGCGGACGGCGCCAGCTTCCGGGAGCTGTGCCAGGTGGAGGAGAGCGCGGCGCTGCTCGAGCTGGTGCAGGACATGCAGGAGAGCGTGAACATGGAGCGCGTGGTCTTCAAGATCCTGCGCCGCCTCTGCCCCGTGCTGCACGCCGACTGCTGCAGCCTCTTCATGTTCCGCCAGCGCAACGGCGTGGCTGAGCTCGCCACGCGCCTCTTCAGCGTGCAGCCGGGCAGTGCCCTGGAGGACTGCCTGGTGCCCCCCGACTCCGAGATCGTCTTCCCGCTGGACATCGGGGTCGTGGGCCACGTGGCTCAGACCAAGAAGATGGTGAACGTCAAGGACGTGGCCGAGGTGGGTTCTGGGCCATGCCTTGCAGGGCCGTGAAGGTCCCCCAGGGCCCAAGGGGCAGGTCAGCCACTGCCCTCTGGGGGCACTTGGGAAGGTGGAGGGGTAGGGGGCGGGGGGCAGCCGGCCAGAGCTCATGGGAAGAAAGGAGTCCCTCAGGTGCCTGGGTGGGTGGCCTGGGCAGGTCCCGCCGCCCCTGGGCTGGGGCTCCCTGGACAGGGTTTGGGGGAGGGGGTCGGAACTGGGGGTCAGTAGCAGGGAGAGGGGTGGCGGGGGCAGATGGTGGACAGCAGCAGGGGAGCTCCGAGGTTCAGGAAGACGAGTGCTTGTGGTGGGAAGGAGCCACGCCGCTGGGCCCAGGGCGGAGGCTGGAGGGAGCTGGGGAGGGGATGTCGTGTGTAAGAGGGTTAGGGTTCGGGCTGGGGAGAGGCCGGCCCAGGAGGTGGAAGGAGGAGCCACGACCTGGATCAGCCTCTTCTGCTCCTGCGAAGGAGTGCAGAGGGGCTGAGCCCCCGTGCAGCCGCTGCCCCCTTGTCCCTGGACACACGTGGGCGAGTGAACAGACTCCCAGACCCCGGGTGCCTGGAGAGGAAGCAGCCGGCTGCAATCCTCTTAAACTCCTCTGCTGTAAACCAGCTGCCATCCTGCGACCTGAATAGAGTAATCTGGGGGATTAGCCTCGCCTTCACTTCCTCGCTGAGAAAGGGTCACCCAAGAACCGGAGTATCAGGAGCACGAGTTCCCGGAAACAGAGCAGTTCGGCAGCAGGGGGGGTGGGGGGCATTCCACTCCTGCCTGGGGCTTGTCCCTTCTGCCCCTGGGGCTCATCCTCCAGCCGCATCCGGGGCCAGTGCTCTGGGTGCCCTGTGGCCGCTCCGAGGGTCTGGTTCGGGCTTCGGGGCTGTCCCCGGCCATGTCCCTCCCTGGCGGGGCATCTCCCTGGGGCCTTCCGGCCTCCCTCAGACGCCCCCCCCCCCCCCCGCCACCAGCTGCCTGTCATCGTGGACCAGAGCTCTCGGGGCAGGCCCAACACTGGGCTCATCCCCAGGGCCATGCGGGACTTTGTCTCAGGTGCCGAGGAAGAGAGACCACAGGCAAAACCCACAGAAAAGCGAGTTTCCATCCGGTGTGTCAACAACCCCCCGCGTTTCCAGGCTTCAGGTTTCCAGGTGGTTGTACAGAGGGGAGGCTGAGGCAGAGCCCGGGCTGCACCCTCAGAGCCCACCCTGCTCAGAGGGCGAGAGCAGCAAGGGGCTGTCTATCTACAGAGCCAGGTGTGAGCCTGTGCATGTGGTAGAGACACCTGGGGTGCAGGGGCCGGGGCGGGGCCGGGGGACCCACAGGCCTGCGACGTCAACACTCCTGTGCAGCATCCCGACCCGTGAGGGCTCGTGGCAAAGCAGTTGGCAGAAGGTCATGGAAGGGCTGTGGCTCCACTATGGCCACAGACCCTCCGACAGATCTAGCCCCAGGTCCTGGCTCTGTGGTCCCTGACCCTTCCCCCACCCAAAGGGCTGCAGGCCACAAACACCTTGCCGTGGGGTCCTGTGCATAGCCAAGGAGTCTAGGCCCAGTTGTGGCCGGCAGTGTGTGGCTGAGCCGTGCAGGGCTGGCGTTAGGGACAGGGCTTTGCAGGGAAGCTCCCGGGAGCCAGGACAGCTCAGCCACTGGGAAGAGGGGAGCAGCAGGACCGGCCAGCTGTGCAGAGCATGGAAAGCCCAGGAGGTGGGTGGAGGCCCAGGGATGCTGACGTAGGTCTGGGCAGTGGGAACAGAGCTGGGGACACTTCAGAGAACTCACACGGTTTGGAATCTTCCTGGGTCAGGGTGGGAGGGAGATGCCAAGGGGACACCGGGGTGGCAGGTGGGTGCCAATCCCTGGGAGGGAGGCACAGGAGGCTGGTGGTTCTGGGAGGAGGCTTAGGGTGCAGTGGGTCTGAGGCTGCCCCGCTCTGCTTAGAGACAAGTCTGTCCCACGAACATGCCACCAGGCAGACTAGTGCTCCCCTCACACTGAGCTCACGCTTCCTGTTCTGAGAGGAGCCGGCAGGGCTGGCCCAGGCAGCTGCCTGCTGGAGGAGCCAAGACCTGGAGTAGGAAGGGCTGAGGAGGGGCTCCCAGGCCTGCCTGCAGCCTGGGAGCAAGGTGGGCACAGGACGGGAAGTGCTGTGAAGATTCTGCAGAGGCTGGGCTGCAGAGTGGGGTCACTGGCTCCAAGCTGGGGTGACAGGGTCTGAGCCAGGCCGGCGTCCAAGGACAGGCCAGTGCTGTGTCCCCTTGCGCCTCCTGAGCTCCTGATGCCGGGGGCAGGGTGATGGGGGTCAGCACTCACCAGGGGGCCTCCATGGAGGTCGCCCCAACCTCAGGTCCCCAGAGCAACAGCCTCTGTCCTTCCTCCGGTCACCTCACAGGACTCTCACTTCAGCCCCTTCGCTGACGAGCTGACCGGCTACGTGACCAGGAACATCCTGGCCACACCCGTCATGAACGGCAAGGACGTGGTGGCCGTGATCATGGCCCTGAACAAGCTGGACGCCCCGTGCTTCACCAGTGAGGACGAGGACGTGAGTGTTGGGGCCTCTCTGCCCTGTGCTGGGGTACGTGCGGCCGTCGATGTCCGTCCGGCTGTGTGCACGCTCACGCAGGCAGGCACCTGTGTGCCGTCCACGGCCACCTGTGCAGAGACCTGCAGACCTGCAGCTACATGCACCCCTGAAAACCAGGCTTTCAGGCCTGTTTTTGCAACTCCCATTCCAGGTTTTCTTGAAGTACCTGAACTTTGCTACACTGAACCTGAAGATCTACCACCTGAGCTACCTGCACAACTGTGAGACACGCCGCGGCCAGGTGCGTGCACCACCACCCAGGGGCCTGCCTCACGGCCCTCCAGCAGGGGTCCAGATCCCCGTTGTCCCTGGACAGTGACGGGCGGGGCTGTGCTCACCTGGGCGAGGGGCGTAGGGGCTGGAGGGAGTGGGGAGGACCGTGTGCTGTGGAAAAGGGTATGGAGCTGACGGGCATGCAAGAGGCTGTCCCTTCCTGTCCTGCTGCTTCCACGTGCCAGCACATGGAAGGAGCCCTGAGCAAACAGTGTGAGGGGGGACCTCACACCGAGGGTCTGGGGCTAAAGAAGCTGCCCATGCCTTGGTTGAGCCTTGGAGGACACAGCAGGCAACTGGCTACTCCATGCCGCCCCACTGTTCGGGTTGCCGAGTGCAACCCCATCCAAAGTGATGAGACGTGTCTGGGCTTGTTTCCACCTTGGCAGAGAAGGGCCGTTTGGGGGGTCCCTCTGGACCCACGGACTTCAGGGGGAGCAGCCTGGGTAGGTGGTCCGGAGGGTCCCCTAGCCATGAGCTGTCCCTGTGATGGGCACCTGTGAAGAAACCCTCCTGGATAGACACTTTCCAGGCTCAGGGCCATGTGGAGACGACGCCCAGTATCCTGATGCTGACGTCTGGCCCGTGCAGAAGGGGACAGGGGAAAGAAGTTCTGGGCAGAGGAAAGGTCACAAGTATGACCTGAGGCCACGGAGCGGCTGAAAGCCAGTGGGCAGTTAGGGGTTGAGTTTGGCGGTCGAGAGCAGGGATCTTGGAGCGTGAGGCTGAGCTCACAGCCAGGTGGTCCCAACCCAAGGGCCAGGAGGTCCAGCGACATGGCCAGAGCGGCATTTGGCCACTGGGTGCACTGTGCTGCTGGGAAGGAAGTCGCTATGACTCGCCGTGCGGGAAGGGGGTTGCACGGGAGATTTGTCTCTGCTGATCAGCTTGTCGATTTGTGTGATTACTAACTGTTTGTGCACAGAACCCCTGCGTCCACGGGGAGTGAAACACGAGTTCTGGCCGTGGTCCCCTGCCCTTGCTGTGTGCACACTGCACTTGGACAGCGAGGCCCTTGCTCCCCCCATGCACCACCTACACTCCCAACGGCTGGGCCCCAGTGTGTGTGCACGGCGTGTCTGAGCTGTCGCCGAGGCCCCCCTGGAGCACCAGAGGACAGTGCTCGTGAACAGTGCTTTCTGCCTCGGTGCTACCGACTCCACAGGTCCTTGTGACCGAAGTCGGTGCCCTCTCCGGCCCCTACAGGGAGGGGCCTGTGTTTCAGTGCAGTGAGACTCTTGTGCCCTAGTCCACACTGGTTGGACTCCCCCCACCTACTAAACAATTTTTTAAATTCTCGAACATTAAGGTCTGCTCTTCGCACTGTGATTTCTTGGGTCTTGACAAATGTGTCCGGACGTACATTCACGATTATGGCGTCATAAAGAATAACTTCACTGCCCTAAAAATTCTCTGTGCTCCACCTACTCCCTCCCCCACCTCCCCAACCCCGGGCACCCGCTGATCTTTCCACTGTCTCCACCTTCTGCCTTTCCCAGAGGGTCCCACAGCTGGCGTCACACGCGGAGCCTCCCCTGTCCCTGGAGACTGGCCTCTGTCGCTCAGTCACACGCATTTACGGCTCCTCCAGTCCTCTCCCGGCTTGAGAGCTCCCGCTTTTCTGTGCTGGGTCGCTGTCCAGATGCGACAGTGTCCTTGTCCATCACCTGCTGAAGGACACCGTGGTGGCTTGCCGCCTGGGGCAGCCGTGAGTGGAACTGTTGGGCACTTTGTGTGGGTTCAAAGTTCCCAGTTCAGCTGGGCGCGCTCCAACGAGCGGACGCGGGGGTGACGGCCTGAGCGTGGGAAGCGGCCAGAGGTGCCGTCCCTTTGCGTCCTGTCGCTCTGCCTCCTCGCAGCTCCGGGTGTCATCGCTAGTTTGGGTTTCGGCCGTTTCTCTCCCTGTCGTTTCCACCTCCGAGTCCCTCACGATAAGTGAGGTGGGGCCTCTTCTCACATGTTATTCTCCGCTGAGGTATCTGTGGCCCATTTTTAGATTAGCGTTTCTGCTTTGTTTGCTTTTATATGTGTGTGTGTTATTTAAATATTTTATTTATTTTTAGAGAGGGGGAAGGGAGGGGGAAAGAGAGGGAGAAAAACATCAAAGTGTGGTTGACTCTCACATGGCCCCCCACTGCGGACCTGGCCCGCAACCCAGGCATGTGCCCGGACTGGGCATCGAACCGGTGACTCTTTAGCTCTTAAGCCGGTGCTCAATCCACGGAGCTGCACCAGCCATGTCTGTTATTGTTTGCTTTTAAGAGTTCGGAGCACATTTTGGATGTAAGTTCTGCATCGGACTTGTGTTTTGGGAACATTCTGTCTGCGGGTGCAGCCTGGGTTTTCACCCTCGTGACGGTGTATGTAGAAACACGGGCGTTCTAAACGTCCACGGAGTCCAAGCTCTGGATCTCACCTTCATGGACGGCGGTCAGGTGCTGTTTCCCGAAACGCATCGCCAAACCCGAAGCCGCCTCGACTGTCGCCCACGTCGCCCTGCAGCGCGGCGGCTTGGCGCGTCACACTCAGGCACGCGAGCAAGCACGCAGTGTGTCTGGACACGCGACCGTGCCACGGAGCAGGCGGCCCTCCCCGCACCGAGCGCCTCTGTGTCTGCGTCTCTCACGCCGTGCGCCGTCACGCCGCCCCTGCGTCGCCGTAGCGTCACGTCACACGCCTTCCGCGCACGCAGGGCCGGGTCTGCGAGCCTGCCTCTGGGCGGGGCGGGGCGGGGCGGGGCGGGGCGGGGCGGAGCTCCGCAGGGCCCGCGTCTGTCTGTCCGTCCTCGCGGACACCGCCCTGCAGCGTCGCCGGGGTCAAAGCTGGAGGGCCCGGCCTCCGCGCGTTCCTTCCTGCGGCGCTGTGCCCGCCAGTCCGACTCTTCGCTTTTCCGCGTGCACCTGAGGGTCGCTCTTCCCACCCCAGACCGCCTTGTGTAGTTTCACGGAGGCGACGTCCAATTTCTGCATCACGTTGGAGAGAATGGGCGCGTGAACCGCGATCGGTCGTGGAGTATAGTCTTTCTTATATGATTACATTTTTGTTACTATTTTAAGAACTTTTGCATATGGGTGCATGAGAGATTTTGGTCTGCAGGGTTTTTTCTTGGAATGTCTTTATCCGGACTTGGCGTTGGGGTCACGCTGGCCTCACAGAGCGGCCTGGGGAGCGTTCCCTGGCTGCGGCGTTTCAGAGGAGGTGGTAGCCACTCGGCGGGTTCTTCCCGAATGTCTGGTAGAATTCGCCGGAGAATTCGTTCTTTTGGGAGGGTTATTAATTGCCATCAGTGGTTGTAGTTCTGTTCCAGTTATTCTATTTCTCCTTGTGTGGGTTGTTAAAAATTGAAAAATTCATTTTAGCCCTGGCTGGTGTGGCTCAGTGTATTGAGTGGTGGCCTGCAAACCAGAGGGTGGCGGGTTCGGTTCCCAGTCAGGGCACATGTCTGGGTTGCGGGCCAGGTCTCCAGTAGGGGGCATGCAAGCAGCAACCACACATTGATGTTTCTCTCTTTCTCCCTCCCTTTCTCTCTCTCTAAAAATAAATAAATATGGTCTTTAATAAATAAAATCTTTAAAAATTTCATTTTATCGAGGGTATTTTATCTAAGTTATGAAATTCGGGGGCATAGAATTATTAATTTTTATTATTGATATTCTTCCACCTGCTTTAGACTTACATTGACTGGTTTTTCTAGTTCATTCAGATTACATGTTTGGTTTTGGATATTTTTGCCTTTGTGACATCTTCCTGTAATACAATAAACTCCCCCCACCCCAGCATGGCTTCTGTTGCAGACCACAAATATTGATAGGTTGTATTTGCATTTTCATTTAGTTCAAGGTGTTTATAAACTTCTCTGGAGCCTTTTTTTTTTTTTGACCCATGTGCTGCGTGGAAGTCTGTTCTTTAATCTACTTTGGCACGTTCCAGCTATACTTATGTGATTTTTCTCCTTGTTGAATTCCCCTGTGGTATGACAAGGCATTTTTATGATTTTTATTCTTTAAACTTTGCTGAGATGTGTCCCGTGGCCAGAACGCGGCCTGGTTCAGCGAGCGTGTTCCGCTATTGTTGGACAAAGTGGTCCTCACTGAGCCCTGTGCCCGGTATTCGTTCTGCAGTCTTCTTGCTGGTTTCCTGCCTGCTGAGCCACGAGCCCGTGAAAGAAAACAGTCGGAGTCTGTGCTGCCATCGTGCATTTATCTGCTGCTCGCAGTTCTCCCGGCTGTGCTCTGTGTACCGCAGCGCCCTACCGGCCGGTGCACACACACTACGAACTGTGATGTCTTCTGGAGAAGTGACCCCTTCGTCGTTGTGTGATGTCCCCGAGAACCCTGGTCATTCCTTCTCCTGCAGGCTGCTTCGTCTGAGGTTGACATAGCGGCTCCGCTGCTCCTTTGGTCCGCATTAGTGTGGTGTGTGGTTCTCCGTCTCTCCACTCTGTTCCCGGCTGTCCTCTTGTGGTGTGGCACATGGGACACCAAACTTGCTGCATCCAGAATTGCGAGGTGTGCAGCTCAGTGACACTGACCTGCCCCTCAGGAGGCGCATGCGCAACTCCAGTGATGTTCGATGTCCAGGACGTTTGCTGTCTGGTCCATTGTTTCTGCTTCTGAAGAGCAGCCAGGCTGTTTCCCATGGCGGCTCACATGTGTCTCACCCACAGCGCACAGGCTTCCGGTCTCTGCACGGCGTCAGGCGCATGGACGCCCTGTGTTCCTGCGGCGGTTGTGCCGGCGGTGTGACGTGGCACGCTGCTGCACCTGTGATTCGCGTTCTCCTCGCCACCGGTGACGTCGAGCATCTGGTCACTGCTTCGCAGAAGCGCCCGTTCAAGGCGCTGACGTGTTTTGAATCTGGTTGTTGAGTTTCAGGAGTTCTCTGCATTGTGGGTGTTAACCCCTTGTTGGATGTACGATTTGCAAGCACTGTGACCCATCCTCGGGCTGTGTTTGCCCTCTGATGGTACCTTTGACGCACAGGAGTCTGTGACATTCAGGGGGTCCGATTTTCCGTTGCCTGTGTCTTTGGTGTCATGTGCAGGAAATCACCGTCAAATCCGGTGCTGTGAGCATTGGTCGTGTGCTCTCTTCTAAGAGTTTTATAGTTTTAAATAGCATATTTCAGTTTTGATCCAGTGCAGTTGCTTTTGCACACAGTGTGAGGCGAGGCTCCCGTTTGCTCTCTTGCACGCCGATGTCCACTTTCCCGGCACTGCTGGTGGAAAGACCCTTTCTCACTGAATGGGCCCGGCACTGTTGTCAACGATTATTTGACCATACATTGAAAGGTTTATTTTTGGACTCTGCTCCAGACCACTGATCTGTAGTTGTGTCTTTATGCCAGTACCACACTGTTTTAGTTAATGCAGGTTTGTAGCATGTTTCTGAATCAGGAGTGCGAGTTGTCCACACTTGTTTTTTTTCTAGACTGTTTGCCTATTCAGATTCTGTTGAGAGTCCATACAACTTTTAGGACGGGCTTTTCTACATCAGCAAAAACATCATTGAAATTTTGGTAGGGGTTACACTACATCTGTAGATACCTCGGGGTACTATTGGGATTTAGTAAGATTAAGTTCTCCAATTCAGAGGGAAGGTATGTCTTTTTTTTTAAGATTTTACTTATTTATTTATTTATAGGAAGAGGGGAAAGGAGGGAGAAAGAGAGGGAGAGAAACATCCATCGGTTGCCTCTCTCATGCCCCCTACTGGGGACCTGGCCAGTAACCCAGGCATGTGCCCTGACTGGGAATCGAAGCAGCGACCCTTTGGTTCACAGGCCAGTGCTCGAACCATTGAGCCACACCAGCCAGGGCTGTCTGTCTGTCTGTGTATTTACACCGTCTTCAAGTTGCTTCTGGTAGCTCGTGGTTTCCATTGCCGCAGCGGGGCCAGGTAAGAGTTGCACATGCGCCTCCCAAGAGGGGTCTAGGTTCATGCCTGCAGGGCCCCCGGAGCACTCGCTGCAGGGCAGCTGTGTCGGCTGCCGAGGCTTTCAGGTTCCGTTTGTCTGGGGGAGTGTTCATCTGTCCCTCCCCTTTGAAGGACACATTTGCCACGTATATGAGTTTGGGTCGAAAGGCTTTTTCGGCGCTTCCAGTACGTTAGCCAGCTGCCTTTCGGCCTCCAAAGCCTGTAAAGAGGAGCCTGCTGACACTCCCATTGAGTTTCGCTCCTAAGTGACAAGTCCCTTCTCTGTGGCTGCAAGCAAGTTTGCCTTTTACGGGTCTCGGGATGGGTGGCCTTGAGTTCATCCTAGCTGGAGTTTGTTGAGCTTCTTGGATGTTACTATTTATGTCTTTCATCAGATTGGGAGGGTTTCCAGCCATGACCTTCAAATACTGCGTCTGCGGACCCCTCCGGCCTGGGGATGGGGCTCTGAGGGGCTCTCCTTGAGCCGAGTTGGCTGGCCGCCCACTGGTTCCATGAGTGGGCAATGCGACCACCCCTCGGCCAGGCCCTGAGCTTACCTGGTGTGGGGGTTGTGCAGGTTCGCGTTCGGACTCAGGTACGGAGTGAAACCGGCAGTGGGAACTGGGTGAACATTAATCTTGGGATTACGGTCATGTAAAGGCTTATCAAATTATAGTTTTTATGTAATGTGGACAGGTCTTTCTCTTATAAATGTTCTATGTGGTTGGTGTGATTAGTAGAGTCAATGTAAGTGGTGAAATTACTGCTGAGGAGGCAAATACCTTTATTACTTTTGTCTGGAGTTCTTCCGTTATCTGAGGTGCTACCACAGATGGGTGCTCGCCACCCTTCAAAAGTCTCAGAAGCCGGCCCGTCACAGGGGAAGGCACCCGTGAGCCCTTCTGCAGACTTCCCCGGTTACTGACACTTTTTACTTGGTGTTGTCGGGTTCACGTCCCGCCTTCCCGTGGAACTGCACTCACCGCGCAAAGCTCACGAGTGACTTGGGTTTGGTGGCCGGAAGCGCAGAGCGGGAATCGCGGGGAAGGCGTTTTCCCGCGTGGCAGCGGCAGTTCTGTGGGGCTGCCCTGGCGTGTGCCTTCGCCACCGTCAGCACCGTGGGAGGGCGGGAGGTGTGCGCGCTGCCGTCCCACGGCAGCTGCGGACTCGTTCGCCCTTTGAGTTTTCCAGGCCGGACGGTGCTGAGGGTGACAAGCCACGTGGGACTAGGACCCAGCCCCCTTCCGATTCTGCGATTCTGCGGCAGCCACCGCCCCAGGGGCCTGTGCAGGGCTGGGCAGTGGCCCACAGCGGCCCCGAGCCGCGCCTGGGCTTCCGCGTGCACTTCCTGGGCCAGGCCTGCAGGGGCAGCGTCGCTGTGAGCCCGCCCTGCAGACCGGCCCTGCAGAAGTGGCAGGTGGTGGTCTTCGAGGGGCGCACGGGGCCTGGACACAGGTCTGTGTGGGGACACCCTGGCGAATGGGAGCACAGGCAGGACAGAGCCACTCGTAACCGTCCCCTTCACTTCCTGAGCGAGTGGCCACAGTCACAGCAGGCGCTGGAGCCCTGCACCGGGGCCAGGGGGGCCCACTCGGCGGAACTGCTCGGGAAACGCTGGCGGTCGGACCAGTGAGGCGACAGGCGCTTGCTTTCTCACGTGTGACAGTTCATGTGCAGGTGCTGCTGTGGTCAGACAGGAGTGCGGGTGTGAACACGGGCCCACAGCTGTGCCGCCCCCGCAGGTGCTGCTCTGGTCGGCCAACAAGGTGTTTGAGGAGCTGACGGACATCGAGAGGCAGTTCCACAAGGCCTTCTACACCGTGCGGGCCTACCTGAACTGCGAGCGGTACTCGGTGGGCCTGCTGGACATGACCAAGGAGAAGGTGGGACCGCAGCGCCCGGGGCTCGGGCCGCCCGCCCCCACCCCGGGCGGCTCACTGACGCCCTCGCTTCTCTGCCCAGGAATTCTTCGACGTGTGGCCTGTTCTGATGGGAGAGGCCCAGCCGTACTCAGGCCCACGCACACCCGACGGCCGTGTGAGTCCTGGGGGGTGGGAGGGCCGGGCTCGCAGCCCCAGCCCAGCCCGGGAGGGCAGTGTGCAGGGAGCTGGGGACCAACACCTCATCTCCCCGAGGCTCCCCCGGGTGCAGGCCCGGGGGCCCCTCACTGCTGCCGTGGTCCGTCTCTCAGGAAATCCTCTTCTACAAGGTCATCGACTACATCCTCCACGGCAAGGAGGACATCAAGGTCATCCCGTAAGTGCCAGGGTTTCTCGAGAAGAGTCACCTGTGCTGTGGGTGCCACACCATGGCGGGGTGGGTGCTGACCTGCCGGCCTGGGCACAGGTGAAGGGGGCCCAGCAGGGAGCTGACGGCTGAGGCTCTGTGGGCATCGCGGTGGCCATCCCAGGACCCCGTGAGCTGTCCGGGTGGCCCGGGCAGCATCAGCTGACCTTGCAGGCCCTCAGGGCGTCGCCTGGGCTCCCAAGCCTCCCCAGCAGGTGGAGACCCCGGGACCGCGGAAGGGGAGCCTGGACGCGTGTGCCCCGTGGGATGGGGCGGGAGGGGGCGCCCAGCCCCGTGAGCAGCACAGCCGGGTGGGGCTCAGGGCAAGACTCCAACCTGCAGAGACCAGGTCCCAGCCTGGCGGCCATGTGGCCACAAGGTCCCATGCCCTGCAGGCCTGTCAGAATCCCCACAGATCCCATGCGGGGACTGGCAGCCACAGGTCGGAGCCAGGCCCCGGGGCGGGGGGCACCAACGCTCAGCCCCAGGGGCTGGGATGTGGCCCTGCTAGGGGAGCAGGTTCCCATGGGGCGGAGGCCTCAGTGTGGGCAGAGGTGGGATGAGGGGCCCCAACCCCCACCCTCCTCTACCTGCCCCACCCCCACCCCAGCCCTGTGCCACCTGGAGCTCAGGGAATGGAACAGACCTGAACACCCAGACTGCACCACACCCGCCACACACGCACGTCCCCACCCAGGGGTCTGGCCCACCTGACCCCCCGCTTCCCTCCCCAGCACACCGCCGGCGGACCACTGGGCCCTGGCCAGCGGCCTTCCAACCTATGTGGCGGAAAGTGGCTTTGTGAGTCCCCGAGGCCCTGCCCGCGCACCCCAGCCATCCCGCCAGCCCGTGTGCCTCCGCCAGCTCCCCGCTCCCAGCCTTGCCCACGAAGAAGCTCCCGGGCTGGTCCGTCGGTGCCAGAGCCTCGCCGCCCACTTTGCTGCTTCCACTGAAACCGTTCTCTCGTCCTTCCCAGATCTGCAACATTATGAACGCCCCCGCGGAGGAAATGTTCCGATTTCAGGTATCTGTCTGTCTGTCCGTCCATAGAAAACGCGTTGCACTCGGGAACTAGGGCTCAGAAACGGGGGTCTGACTGGGGTTTTGCTGCCTAAGAAACCACCTCAGGACCTCAGTGACAGCCAGCAGCAAGCGTGCGTTTCGTGCTCACGCGTCTGTGGGTTTGCTGAGTCCAGCGGGACCCCAGCAAGGGCTCCCGTCTGCTCCCCACGTCTTCCCCCGGGGAACGCGTGGCCAGGGCTCTTTCCGGGAGGGGGCCGAGGGTCCGGTGTGCCGGTGGAGGTGGGCTTTGTCTCTGAGGCCTCTGGGTGCCGGCCAGCGTCCGTGTTCCACTGCCTGGCGTCAACGGCATCAAGGCAGGACTGGCTGTGCGGTTCGTGGGACCCCCTGTGACGGACGAAGCGCCGGCCCGGGGAGGCTGCCATGCCGGGACAGCGTGCTCTTCCTCCGTGGCAGAGGCCACGGCACAGACGTAGACGCAAAGCTCCCCCGTGGGCGGGGGTGAACAGACCAAAGAGGAGCGGTGACCCAGGGCTGACCCCGAGCAGCAGCCACGTCTGGCCGCCTGTCCCTGCAGGAAGGCGCCTTGGACGACTCCGGGTGGGTCATCAAGAACGTCCTGTCCATGCCCATCGTCAACAAGAAGGAGGAGATCGTGGGGGTGGCCACGTTTTACAACAGGAAAGACGGGAAGCCTTTTGACGAGCAGGACGAGGTCCTCATGGAGGTAGGCGCCTGCCACAGGTGCGGCTCCGGTGAGGACACCCCGGGATGGGACAGGCGCGTCATCCACTTCCGCCCCCCAACCCAGCCCTCGGCCGAGGGGCGCGGGGAAGAGGGAGGGCGAGGCCCCATCCCGGAGCTCCCTGGCGGGCACCTCGCCCCCATCAGGAGTGCTCACGGCCCTGGGAGCTGCACCCCGGACGGCCGGTGCTGCGGGGGGGAGGGTGACGCACTGTGCCATCGTCCGCAGTCCCTCACGCAGTTCCTGGGCTGGTCCGTGCTCAACACCGACACCTACGACAAGATGAACAAGCTGGAGAACCGCAAGGACATCGCCCAGGACATGGTGCTGTACCACGTGCGGTGTGACAGGGACGAGATCCAGCTGATCCTGGTACTGCTCCCCGCCCCCCGGGCCCCGCCCCGCCCCAGGGGGACGTGGTGCTGAGGACCTGCTGTCAGCAGAGGGAGGGACCAGACGCAGTCACTGCCCTCGGAGCCCAGGGTCCCGGCTGGGGCCTCCGGCAGCAGCAGTTGGTCCCCAGTGCCAGACGTCCCCTTGCCCCGCAGTCACCAGGGTCGGTCACACTGTCACTGTCCCCTAACACACCTGTTTCTCTCCCAGCCGACGCGGGAGCGCCTGGGGAAGGAGCCGGCTGACTGTGAGGAGGAGGAGCTGGGGCAAATCTTGGTCAGAGTCTGACCCCCCACCCTGAGGTGGAGGCTGGGAGGGCCCACGGGTGGGGCAGACTTCTCTCTCTCCCCAGGAGACTGAGTGGCCTCGGCACAGCATGGCCCAGTGACACGGCTGCTGTCTGCACACATGTGCCCGTCACGTGTGTGTCTGTGCACCTCTGCACGTGCACACCTCGGCGCGTGTTCCGCGGACAGCGGTGCTGTGTCTACTCGGCACTTAGGCCCGTCCTTCTTGTCGGGCCTCGGGGGAGGGGGAGGGGAGGGCTGAGCCGTCGGGGCCCGGGTACCAGGCTGCAGGCCCGAGGGACTGGAAGGGTGGGTGCCACCCGACACCAGGGGCATCTGAGGCTGGACCAAGGGTCCTGGAGGAGAAGAGATGAGGAAGCAGTGGGGTTGAGGGGCTGCCCCCTCAGCCCCATAGCCCGCCCCCCCACACACACACAGAAGGAAATGCTGCCGGGGCCCACCCAGTTCGAGATCTACGAGTTCCACTTCTCCGACCTGGAGTGCACGGAGCTGGAGCTGGTCAAGTGCGGCATCCAGATGTACTACGAGCTGGGCGTGGTCCGCAAGTTCCAGGTCCCCCAGGAGGTGAGGGGTGCTGGTCAGGGGTCCTGGGTGCTGCAGAGAGTTTGTGGCGGGCATGTTCACCACAGAAGGGACGGTGCAGGCCGGTAACGCACGGGCAGTGCACCGGCCTGGAACAGTGACTGCAGGGGGGAAGTCGCGTAAACGGGAGTTCCTGGCAGTGTGGTCACTCAGCGCATGGCTGGGCACTCACGGGCTCCCGCGAGGGGCAGAGAGCAGAGCCCCGCACTGGGCGGAAAGCACAGCTCTGCCTGGGCTCCCACTGCCCAGCAGGTCCCCGCTGCTGCCCGACTGAGGCCCCAACATCAGGGTGGCAGGTGGCATTTTCAGAAGACATTTTACTAAATACTAAAGAAAAGCACAAAAGGGAAAAAACCACAGAAAATAGTAACAGAAAAAAATGTTTCCAAATAACTTTCTGGTCCTAAAACTCACAGAGCAGCCAGAAGCTCCCCTGGGCCCCACACTCTTGCCCCCATGGCCTCTGGGCCTCCGGCACTCCCCGCACCAGGTGCCCACACACCTGACTGACTCAAGTGCCTAACCTGGGCTTTTTCCTGTAAAACAACCCAGAGCCCTTGCTGGGGTCCTCCTCCCAGTTTGGGGCTGTGCAATAGGCCGGAGACCCAGGAAGCAGCAACCCTCGCGCGCCCCCTGCCCCCGCAGGGCACGGGGGCCAGTCCCAGGCCGAAGGCCAGCTGTGGGGCAACCTGCCCAGAGACCTGGGCGGGAACCCCATCTCCTGACCCCCCGCAGGCCCTGGTGCGGTTCCTGTTCTCCGTGAGCAAAGGCTACCGCAGGATCACCTACCACAACTGGCGCCATGGCTTCAACGTGGCGCAGACCATGTTCACGCTCCTCATGGTACGTGGGCTAGCCGGGCCAGGTCGCCCACGGCCGGGCAGGAGGCACCTTCATCTGCCGGGGGGGGGCGGAGGTGGGAGTGCAGGACAAGGTGAGGGCTGGGGGGGCACACCCTGGAGGCGCAACTGGACTGGGTGCCTGTCTCCACAGACAGGGAAGCTGAAGAGCTACTACACTGACCTGGAGGCCTTCGCCATGGTGACAGCGGGCCTGTGCCACGACATCGACCACCGAGGCACCAACAACCTGTACCAGATGAAGTAGGCGCACGGGGCGGGCAGGCATTGGGGCAGGGCTGCCGACAGGCCCGCGCAGTTGGTGGGGGCAGCGGGGCCCTGCAAGGGGCTGCAGCGTCCACAGGTGGCCCCTCCGGGCCACGCTCAGGGCTGCTGACAGTGCTCGTTTCTCCGTGACGCGGGGCAGGTCCCAGAACCCCTTGGCCAAGCTGCACGGCTCCTCAATTCTGGAGCGACACCACCTGGAATTCGGGAAGCTCCTGCTGGCGGAGGAGGTTCGAGTCCCCAGGTTGCTAACCTCGGCCCCTCCCGGCTGATGACCGCCCTGAGCTGCATCCATGCCGCACGCCCTCCTCCTGGGATGGGAGTTCTGGCCACGCACGCAGGGGCTGGAGGGGGCGCAGGCCTGGCTGAGCACAGCAGGTGGGCTCAGTCCTGGCTCCGGAGCCTAGGACCTGCAGTTAGACCCTGGGGTGGGGGGGCAGAGCCAGGGCCACCAAGAGACTGCGTCCCGCCCTGCCCCCCCCCCCCCAGGGCCTGAACATCTACCAGAACCTGAACCGGCGGCAGCACGAGCACGTCATCCACCTCATGGACATCGCCATCATCGCCACGGACCTGGCGCTCTACTTCAAGTGGGCGGCCCGTGGGCTCCGGCTGGGGGGCCGGGCGGGGGTCCTCTCCTGGACGGGCCGCAGGGTCGGGAACACGCATGTGGCCGGGTCCCGAGTGGGATGAGGCCGACCCTCTCTCCTCAATCTCGGGGTCCAGGAAGAGGACGATGTTCCAGAAGATCGTAGACGAGTCTAAGAACCACAAGGACCGGGCGAGCTGGGTGGAGTACCTGTCGCTGGAGACGACCCGGAAGGAGATAGTGATGTGAGTGGTGGCACGAGGGACCAGAAACCCTCCTGCTCCTGCCGTGGCCCCTCGGGCCTCAGGGGCCGTGAAGGGAGGACAGCTCTCTTCTGCCTACCAGCTTTGACACCCCAAACAAGCGCTCTGCCTCAGCCCTCGTTTTGGGGGAGACCCAGGGGTTTGGGCTCAGCCAGGCAGGCTCCTCAGTTTGCAGTTTCTGGCCATAGTGTTCTCACTGCAGGAGCCTCATCCCTTCATGTGCAGTCGGGGCTCAGGTCTCTCCTGGGGGGTCCGGGGGGCCCAGGGGCCCGGTCAGGGAGCGTGCGTGCATCGTCGAGGTGCCGGATAAATGCTGGTGACCGTGGCATGCAGGCAAGGGGCGGAGCGGGGGCCAGCACAGGACTGCCTCCAGCTCCCTCTGCTCACAGGGCCATGATGATGACGGCCTGCGACCTGTCCGCCATCACCAAGCCCTGGGAGGTCCAGAGTAAGGTCAGAAGGCTCATGGGGCTCTGCAGGGGGCGGGGCCGGGGGAGGGACCACAGGCTGTGCTCAGGGCACCTCCCTGCTCTGGGTCCGTCACTGGCCGCTGCTGTGGTGGGATGGGCCCCTGTGCCCACTGGGCAGTGGACCGGGGGCTGCTAGAGGGTCCCAGGTGGAGAAGACGAGGGTGCGGAGCCTCCTGGCAGGTTCTTGGGACAGTTGCTGGATAAGCACCGAACTCTTGGCAGGTGACGCCCCTTTGTGTGCCCTCCAGGTTGCTCTGCTGGTGGCAGCTGAGTTCTGGGAACAAGGTGACTTGGAAAGGACCGTTCTGGATCAGCAGCCCATTGTGAGTGTTGCTTCCAGAATCTTCTGCTCCCACTGTGGTCCCTCAGAGCCTCTGTGCTGGAGTGGTGCACACGGCAACCCGGGGCTCTGAGGTCCTGGGGCCTCCAGCTCACATTGTGGTTCACGTGGCACAAGCCAGGCTCGGGCAGGTGGCTCGGGGTCTGGGTGACCAGGCGGTGCCTGTGCCAAGGTCGCCTCGGGCAGACCTAGGCTGCGGCTCCCTGCAGACAGGCTCCATGAGCCAGGCAGCTGCACAGGGGACACAGCGGGGCCTTCGGCTGCCCCGGGGAGGCCCAGGCTGGACGGCGCAGTGGCGTCCCGCAGCCGTGGGAGAGGTGGAAAGAGGGCTTGTCTCACAAGTCAGTTCCGGTCGGTGAGGGGCTGCCTGCGCACAGGCTTGAGGAGGCTCTGGGCAGAGACGGCAGGAAAGGGTGCCCTGGCCCACCAGCGAAGTCCCCCGGGGGACGGACACGTAGCTGGTTTGTCCCCTCCAGGCCAGGCCTGCAGGCTCCCACCTGGCCCCCCCTCACCACCCTGAGCTCCAGGCCCAGCGTCACGGGGAAGGAGAGGCTGGCAGGAGGCAGCTTGGTGGGTGCAGAGTGTGAACACGGAGGCCCATGAGCCAAGCCCCGGGTCTTTTCTCAGAACCACGGAGAGCTCCCGGGGGCCAGGAGCCTTGGGCCTGGGACAGGGCTGCCCTGGGGGGCTCTGAGGGGCGTGCGTCCTGGCTCTTCACTCCCAGGGGCCAGCGTTTGCCAGGCAGGCCGGGCCCTGGGGCCAGGGACTCCACCTTCCTCCCTCCGTGTGTCTCCATGAACATGTTCGTTGGAGCTGAGTGGGCCTCAGCGCACCCTGGTGCTTGGGGACCGTGTCGGCACGCCTGCCCCCGCCCTTCACTGTGCCCCTCCCCTCCCCCAAAGCCGATGATGGACCGGAACAAGGCAGCTGAGCTCCCCAAGCTGCAGGTTGGCTTCATCGACTTCGTGTGCACCTTCGTGTACAAGGTGAGTGGGTGGGGCAGGGCCAGCTAGGTGGCAGGAGGAGGAGGGAGCTGGTGGGGTCACAGATCCCTGGCCCCACTCTCTGCACATCTGCATTTGAACCCGAAATTGCCAGTGTGACCCCAAGTGTGTCCCCCAGCTCCCCTGCGCCCAGTGGCTTCTCAGCAGCTTCCCCACTGGCCGCCTTCCTCCTGCGTCCTCGAAGCCACCTCAAGGTCTCGTCTCAAACGTCCCTCCCCGAAAACCCATCTGGGGCGCCCTCCGTGGCCTTCCCATTGTTCTCGGGCCCTGGCTGCAGGCGTGTCTGTGGGCGCACTGGTCGGTGTCCGTGGGCACTCTCCCCTGGAGAGTGGGGAGAGGGTCCCCATCACAGCTGGGTGCGCTTCACCCAGCAAATACAGACCACATCGCTGACGAGTGACAACTGGGCACCAAAGTCAGGGAGTCGTGATGTCACCACTCAGGAGACTGGCCAGAGACTGAGGGGGGCTCTGGCTGCACAGCCCCTCCCCGGTGGTGCCCAACTTGCCTGGGGGGCCCTGCCCCCTTGGGTGGCAGCGCAGGCCCCACACTCTGGTTCTGAGTGAAGCCGTCCCTGACGACTGCACCCGTCCCGCCCCGCCTCGGCCCCCAGGCCCCCTTTTTGGCCCCCACAGCTGAAGAGCTGGGGGGCAGGACCAGGGTGTGCCCTGCAGTCCCGTGTCACAGGTCCCAGCACCACCACGGCGTCCCTTCTGCCACACGCCCACAGCTGTGTGTTCACATGCATGTGTGACGTGTGGGCCTTGTGTGAGTGGCCCGTGCATGAGACACGGGAAGGAGCACAGGACCCCGCGTCCGCCGAGTCCCCCCACCCCTCTGCAGTTGACGCTGCGAACTCCACTGGGGCTCCGTGCCCGGCTACAACCGTGTGCGTTATAAGCATTCAGGCCCGCAGCTCCCGTTACAACTTCAAAAGTGCAAGGCCCTTCTCCCTTTTCAGGGCTTTGCTGGCAAGTGGCATCTCAGCAGCCCTCCCTCCTCCTGCCAGGCAGGTCCCTCAGGGTCCTCGGAGCAGACCCAGGGCCCAGGTGCGGGAGGAGACCTGTCCCACCTGTCCCAGGAGCAGTCTCGATTTCCCTTCCAGGAGTTTTCCCGCTTCCACGAGGAGATCCTGCCCATGCTAGAGCGCCTGCAGAACAACAGGAAAGAGTGGAAGGCCCTGGCGGATGAGTACGAGGAGAAAGTGAAGGCCCTGGAGGAGGAGAAGAAGAAGCAGGAGGAGAAGACAGCGGCCAAGAAAGGTCTGGGCTCACGGGTGCAGGACAGGCTCGGGGGCGAGGGTGGAGCACGGGGGCTGGGACAGTGTTAACAGAACTGAAGAAAAGGCGGGGCTCAGACAGCCTTGCTCTTAGTGCTCTCGGGTCACTCGCTGCAGAGGCAGCTGGAGGAGGGTGGCAGGGCGAGGCCCATCCACGGAATGGGTCCTGCTAGTTCAAAGAGGCTCACAAGCCTGGCCCTAGCTGGGGAGCTCTCTCATGTTCCCCGAGGAAGAAATAATTGTTACTTCCTTTCTGAGGGGGAGGGAAGCCCGGCTGAAACATCATGGACCCTTAATAGACCTTTGGTTCAAAGAGCAGTCCTCCCGAGTCACTCAGAAAGTCTACCTGTACTTCCACACACCACACACACACGCAAGTAAGAGCCAGGAGTCAGGTATGCGTGGCGTCTCCTGTACTGTGCCCAGAGTGGTGGTTTGCCTGTTTCTCCACCTGCACGAGGGGGTGTGGCTGCGCTGGAGCAGCCCAGGATGGAGCCAGGCCATCGTGCTGCCTCCCATTCACCTGGGCTCCGCCACCTCAGCTCTGGGGCTCTGGGGCTCTGCCCGCAGTGCCCTGCTGTGGGGAGGGAACCAGCGTCAACAAGGCAATTTCAGGGTCGTGGGAGGTCAGGGCTGAAAGTGTCACCAAGGGCCAGGATCAGAGGGCTGAGCCCAGCCAGCTAAGCAGCTTAGGTTGCCCACAGGTGTCTGCGGCCACCCTTCCTGCTGCAGAGTTGCTGGAGCACACAGGAGCGGGCGGGAAGGGGCCAGGCTGGGGCACGTGCAGCTCACGCCCACCGTCTTGTGTCTTCTCCCGCAGTGGGCGCTGAGATCTGCAATGGTGGCCCAGCACCCGCATCCTCCACATGCTGCATCCTGTGAGCCGCTGGCGGGGCCTGATAGCTCCCTCACACCCACTGGACTCCGCCTCCCACCACCTGGTACAGGAGTTTGTGAAGCCTGAGAAAGTGAAGACACTTTTGGAAATTTTGAATTTAAGGTTTATGTTTTTGGCAGCTAAAGCCAATTACAAATAACACACAGCGTAGCCTGCGCTACACTTACACACATCTGTCTTTGGATACACAGTAATACCAGAGACCTTCGAGTCTGTGAATGTGTCTAAAGCATGGGTGGAAACTCTACACATGTATTTACGTGTATATGGGTAGACGGATACAGAGATGCTGTTTCCCATTTGTTTTAGGAACCAATATATGACCAGAAATCTAGAATAAAATGCAAACAAATTGCCCTTCTTTTCTGTGGTAGAAATTACAGCAGTGGCACATGGCATACAACCACCAGAGTTCTGGGACGAAGGTCAAGGCTGTGAGTGGGGCAGGATCAGATCTGAGTGAGCTGTGCAGAAACCACCCGGGATAAAGACTGTGTGGTGTTGCTGACAGACCCAGAGGTCAGGGCCGACCTCCCTCCAGCCCCTGCCGCAGGGGGTCCACTCACTGCAGCACCAAATGCCTGCAGTGGCTTCACATCTGAGCTGGGATGAAAGGCAGTCACCCCACACTGAGACGGGCACCGATTATCTGGCAGAAATAAGGACTTTTACCTCTAAATGTGTGCTCCCATCCCCATCACTGGATGACAGTTAACCCCACGGGAAACTCCTGGCAGCGTGGGTTTAGCTCAGCTCTAACAGGGCCTTCCCCCATGCTCCCAGCGGGGACTGGGTGGGGGGTGAACACACCCCACAGTGCCAGGCCTCACAGGAAGCATTTCGGTTTCCTTCTCAGTGGTCAGTGACACCTGGTGACTTGGTCCTGTGACTAGAGCCCTGGCTCCTCCAGGTTCCCCGAGGAACTCGGCACCAGCTCACCTCACAGGGGGGCTCACTCAAACCAGGGCTTTTAAGTGTGGACATGTGGCTCCCCAGGTTCCCTTCTACTTGCATGTGAATTCATTTTATAATGGGCCTGGCTGAGCCCTCAGGTTCTGGGGGCGGAGCCCCCTGAACAGCTCATGCAGTACCCTGTCTTGGGCCTCGGGCCACATCCCGTCCCTGGGGCCAAGGCGGGGATCCACAAGGCAGGCTGAAGAGCCACATCTCCACCGCGAGGCATCAGCCCTAGCCCCCACGTCTGCACTGCGGGCCCCCTGCCCTACACGTCCAGAGTCTGGCCAGGGCCTGGAGGGGTGAAGGTTGAGTAGCACCACAATACCCACCTGTGTCTGTTACAAACCTCCCCCTTTGGGGCTCCTACCTGGATGCCCCAGAAAACGGGATGGAATCGCTGTCCTTCCCTCCCCTTCCCATCTTGTGTCTGTGGTGGGAGACGATTCTGAAACCTGCCCGGACGCATCCCCACCCTGCACACACTGAGGACAGAAAAGGAGAACCAGAGCAGCACGCGACACAGGAAGCTTTATTCATGCACACGGCTCGGACACGGGCAGGCTCACTTCAGTATGCTGTCGTCGCGGGCTGGAAGGGTGAAAGGAAAACACATGTTAGTGCCTGGTCAGACAACTCGGAAGGAGCACTTCAGTTGCTTGGGTTAAACACTCCAGGTCTAGTTCCATGGAGGCCGACTATGCCCTGCTTAAACTGTCCTGGGTGGTCCTTTTCTGTGCACAGCAGAGGGAGGAGTGTGTGCGTGCTGGTCCCGCAGCCTCTGAGAGCGGCTTGGCCAGCTCGCATTCCCAGACAGTTAACCTCCAGAGCCACCCACTGGGCCAGTGCTGGATGAAAGGAGGTGGCCCCGCCCCGCCACTGCAGGTCACTTGCAGCGGATGTTTATTCCTCAGAGCCAGGTGGAGGGCACATCAGTAATGTTTGGAACACCAGTACCTTCTGCCAATTCTCTCTCAATCCGTTTGAGTTCATCCTGCTTCTTTTTCTCCTCTGCCGCGATTCGCCTTTCCTCCTCCGCCCGCGGTTTCAGGTAACCTGGTCAAGGAAAGCGGGAAGGGAGGCGCTTCTAGTGAAATGCTGTGTAAAAGTAACTCGGTTCACACGCAATGTTACCTTCAGGTCCAGCGTGAACCTCACGCATACCTACCTCTAATTCTCTCTAACCTCCACGGAGGTCAAGGCCTGCCAGGCCCCCTCACCGGAGAGCACGGCAGGGTCCCACCCAGCGCTCCCCCGACCCCGCCCCGCGTGCACCAGATGTCAGCAGCCCCGGAGTCCCAGTTCCCGGGCGCGGCCGACCGGGGCAGCTCCCGGCCAGGCCTGCACCCGCCCTCCGCGCGCTTACTCCCCGGTTCACCGGACGGCACTGAGGGACACGAGCGAAGCCCGCGGTCACTCACTGTAGCGCTTGGCTCCGTAGGCCACGCCGAGGAACAGGGCGGAGTAGCGGCCGAGCTGCGGGGGAGAAGGCGGTTAGAGGGGGCGCGGCGGCACCGGGGCCCGGGAGCCGCCCGCAGGGCACGGGGGTCGGACAAGGGGAGTCGCACTGCGGCGTCGGGAATCCGGGATGCGGAGCTGGGAGGGACAGGGTCGCACTTGTGGGGTCCCGGGCGCGAGAATCGGGGGCGCAGCGAGCGCGCTGGACCGAGGAAGGCGTCGGGGGCGCACAGCAGGGATGAGCAATGGGGTCGCACCCGCGGGTTCGGGGTCGGGAGTCCCGGGCTCCGTAAGGTAGGACACGCGGGGGCCCGGCGGAGCCGAGGACCGGGAGGCGGCCAAGAACCTTAGTTCACCTTGATGAGCGGAGAAACCTGCACAGGCGGCACCATCTTGTCCGTGACCTTCGCACCGGAAGCACAATTCGGGGCGGACGCGGACTCACGGAGTCACCAAAAAAAAAAAAAAGTACCGAGGAGAGCGCCTGCGCCGTCGGAGACAAGTGAGAGCGTCGTGGCGCCCCTGGCGGCCAGAGGGGGAACGGCGCGCGCCCGCGTGGGTGGCGTGTGACGTCACGGGGCGTGCACAGGGTGACGGCGGTCAGTTGTAATGCGAGTGAGGCGAGCTGGACGGCGGCGCAGGCGCATTCCCGGTGGCCGAGCATTCCCCGCAGCTCCTGTGGTCCCCGTGCCCGGTGGAGCATAAGGCGGGGCCCGCACCGCAGGCCCAACGTTTGAGAAGTCTAAGTCGCGCTTACATGGTGCACAGAGGACGCTCTCCGCCCCCGGGGGCCAGTCGGGAAGGAGCCGGCCCCGGTCAGCCCCGAGGACGGCCAGGGGTGGGGGCCCGGCGTCCGGCTCCCCTGGGCAGGACCCTGGCCCCCAGAGCCCTCGGATGGTGCAGGCGGGTGGCCGCCCGCTGTTCAGTCCCCCAGCGGAGCTGGAGCGCCCTTATTCCAGGAGCTTCTGGGGAAGACCGTCTCTGTCCCGCAGTAGAGCCCCCTCCCGGGTACCCTGCAGTCCAAGCTCCTAGGTCCACCTCAGCCTGGGCCTTAGGGGTCACTGACCCCCAGACCTCACGTGTGGAAAGGAGTCACGCCGCAGGGCCCGGAGTCACGTGTGGAAACAGTCACACCGCAGGGCCCGTAGTAAACACTCCATCTCGGCCCCCTGCGCCCCCTCGGAGCAGCCCCCTGCCTCCCTCAACTCTGGTTAGCGCTGCCGGAGCCCGGACAGGCCAGGCCTGGTGTGCAGAGGGGCCACCCAGAAATGCGGCAGTGGTGGCCGGGCAGCCTCCCCACCTCTCCACCGCGCTGACCCGTGGTGCCCACGGCTTGGGGCTTGGCGGGTACACTGTCCACGCCCCCAGCCCTGAGCTGCTTTGGGAGAAGTTCCCTGAGAACCAGGGCTTGGGACTCACTATGGTCCCTGCTCTGCTGAGGGGGAGCCCACTTCTTACGCTTCACCAAACCCACATGTTTCAGAAGAGAACTGAACTGAACCCAAAGGGAACAAAATGCAGGCACAGCTAGCCCCGTGAGTCTGCAGCGGTGGGGGGTGGGGGGCAAAGGGCAAAGGGCCACCTGCAGGGGCCTGGGCAGGAACTGCAGCCCACCACTTTCTCCACAGTCCCAGCTCTAGGCCTCCCAGCTGCACAACTGGAAAATTGTCTGCGCTGCTTCATGGGCTGGGGAGGCCGATCCTCTAGGCTGGGGGGCTGTTTCCCGGGTGGGGAGCACAGCGTCCAGGGCAGGCCTCCCGGGCACCCTCTGGGCTCCCTGCGGGAGATGTTCGGCACTCTGACCCCACACTGTACCACATGAACTCCCGTATGGACAGGACAGGCTGGCTGGCCTTGCTGGGAGCTCACACGCGGCATGCTGCCCTGGAAGAGTTGGGCAGATGACTTCAGGTGACAAACGCCTTTGTCCTTCCCTTAATTTTAAAATAAACCAGGCTCCTCAGCAACTCCTGCTTCCAGAATCAAAAATAAGTGTCTCTGGGGTGGAAGGTGGAGCCAGAGTGCTGATGGGGACCACACACCGTTAACTTCCACCAGGTGGAAGGTGGTGACCCCTGGGGACACACACAGGCACACACACAGCACCACCCAGGAAGGCCCCTGAAGCCGGGGCGGGGGTGGGGGGGGCGAGACACACAGCCCAGGGCTCTTCCTGGGGTCTGCTGGGGGGTTCCCACTTGGCTCAGGACCCCGGGACTGCCTGCGGACTCCTTGCACCTGTCAGGGCCAGCTGTCCATGTCGAATCCCGATACTCTCCCAGGAGCCGGGCTCTGAGGCTATCTTTAGTGCAGTGCTCAGACCCTGACCGGCCCCAGGAACCCTCCCCGGGGGCTCTGCCAGCCCTCTGGCCTCCCCTTCAGGGGCCTGTGAGCACAGATCCCACGCGCCTTCTCCTGTGCAGGTGGCACTCCCCACTCCTGCCAGGGTCTTTCCAGGCCCAGCCAGACCCCACCCAGCTGGGGGCAAGGGAGGCCCTGTCCAAGGTGCAGGCTAGGCCCAGGTCCCCACCTCAGGCACGTGCTCTCCTCTGGGAGTCCTCTAGGCAGAGCCGTGTCCGCCACCCCCGTCCCTGCAGGTAGACCACACTTCCCCGGGTCCCTCAGGGGGCCTCTTATCCCACACTCACTGAGTGTGCCCCTGGGGGCAGGGCCCCCGCCACAGCCACCACGGAGGCAGAGGTTCAGAGATGTGCCCACAGAGACAGCCCCCCACGACTGCAGCTGTGAAGACTGCACAGCCTCCTCAGCCCTGCCGACTGAGGGCCACAGCTGCCACCCACCCCCACCTGGAGCCAGCACACCCGGCCTCTGACTTTGTGGTGACAGGCACCCACAGGGCCGCAGCAGAGCGGGAAGGCCAGGCTGAGTGCTGGCTGTGGCTGGCCCCTCTGGCCCTCAGGCCCCTCCAGTGTGCCTGCAGTGGGGACGGGAGGGTGGCCCCAGCACCAGGGTGGGGGGCCTGGGATCTCTTGGCCACCCAGGCAGGGAAGTGAGGGCACAAGGAACATACTTGGGGGCACTTGGTGACTGGCCACTAGGTTCACTTACAGGGCCTTTGTGCAAATCTGGGGAAAGTGCCCTTTTTTTCTGGCTCCTGCAGCTCCCAGGCCCTCAGCCCACCTGCACACGGCCAGGGAGATGTGCAGAGTCCAGGACAACAGGGGCCCTGAGTGGGAGCTGGTGGGAGGTGCTGGGAAGTTGGGGGCCCTGCTGGGAGGGGCAGGATGGGGCGCCTGAGTCACTGCTGACTGCCGCAGCTCACTCTGCAGTCATCTGGTCCCCTGGGGGGCCCTGAGCCTGTCCTTGTAGGGAGTGACAGCCAGCATGCCAGCCATCCTGGGGGACTGGGCAGGAGCTTAAGAGAGCCGACCTGGGCAGGGAGGGCACAGATCACCCCATCGGGCAGACCAACATGGTGAGTGGGCACCAGGCAGGCAGCTGGGCGGGGTGTGAGAGTGACTGTGGGTGTGAGTGCGTGTGCACACGAGGGGAGTGTGTGCAGGTGTGTGCGCACTGGGGGGAGAGGAACATCCATGACCCTTGGCTTCCCCAGCAACAGTCTGGGGCTAGAAGGGGGCGGGGCCTGGCCTTCACCTTAGGGGGATACCTAGAACAAGCCCACCCACCTGCTGGCCACATGCACAGTCCGTTTGCTCCTCGGACACCCAGCTGGCTCCTGGATGGACTGCAGACCTAGCAGGGCAGAGTTCAAGGTGAACCCTGAGGGCTGTGTGGTCAGGGCCTTCTCACCGAGCACCTGCGGCTGCCCTAGCCTGGGGACCCAGGGCCCAAGTGCCGTGGCCCACCCATCCTCTGCATTGAGTCCCCTAAAACCGCTGGGCTGGAGGACCCTGAGCCCCAGCACTCTCACCGCAGGCCAGCAGAAAGACCAAGAAGAAGGAGGGGGGGGCCCTCCGGGCCCAGAGGGCGTCCTCCAACGTCTTCTCCAACTTCGAGCAGACCCAGATCCAGGAGTTCAAGGAGGTGAGGCTCTGCTCCTGCCCAGCAGGCCCTGGACCCAGAAGTCCCTGCCCCGGGGGGGCCCTGGGAACCCTAGAGCAGGCAACCAAGAGACCCACGTGGGCCTCGCTCCAGGGCCAGTACAAGCGGGTGCCTCTGCTCACATGGGTGGCCTGTTCCAGGCCTTCACACTGATGGACCAGAACCGAGATGGCTTCATTGACAAGGAGGACCTGAAAGACACCTACGCCTCCCTGGGTAGGTGCCCGGCGGGGCTCTGTCACAGTCCCCACTTTGGCTCTGGCCTGACAGCCCACAGTGTGACAACCAGGCTGGCTGGGGTGTTGCTGGGGCACACAGGGAGGGGGGTGGCCTCTGCTCTCCCCCTGCAACCTGCTTTTCTTGGCCTGAGGAGGTCCTGCCCTTGCAGCCACAGTGACAGGTTGGCCTCCACCCAGCAGGGTCTGCACAGACCCGCCTTCCCTCTGGGCCCCACTGATCCCCAGGTGAACAGGACACAGACCCTCCCGGCTCCACGTGGTCTCCTGTCCCCACTGCTGGCAGTCTGCCTGTCTGGGGCTCAGGGTCAGGGGTTCTGCTGGCATGCAGAACCCACACCCACCATACCTGGGCCAGGCGTTCCCCCATTGGCTGGCCTCCTGCCCCAGTCCCCCACTTTGTTCTGAGGCCACCTGGGGAACAACGGAGGTGGGCAGCCCTGCGGGGCACCTGCCGGCGGGGGCGGCCCTGCCCAATGACCCCGCATCTGCAACAGGCAAGATCAACGTCAAGGACGATGAGCTGGACGCCATGCTGAAGGAGGCCACGGGGCCCATCAACTTCACCATGTTCCTGAACATGTTCGGCGAGAAGCTGAGCGGTGAGCCCTCCGGCCTCGGCCAGGCTGTGTGTGTTTATTTAGAAACGCAGACATCCCTCATACAAATCCAGATTTTCAGATCTCCTGAAAAGCCCTGGGACCCGGCTTTCTGGGACCCACACGTGTGCCCCCCACACCTCTTGTACCTTTCCCCACTTCACCTCAGCCCCCGCTCCCTGGGCACGTGCCCAGCCCTGGGCCTGGGCAGGACCCTGAGCACAGGTGCCCCAGGCAGGGGCTGCAGGGTGCCAGGTGCAGGGGGTGGGTGGGAGGGCCCTCCAGGCTGATGGCACAGGGTGGCGGGAGCACAGGCAGCCAGAGCAGGCCTGGAGTCTCTGTGGACAGGTACGGATACTGAGGAGACCATCCTGAATGCCTTCAAGATGCTGGACCCCGATGGCAAAGGCAGCATCAACAAGGACTAGTGAGTGTGGCTCAGGGCCCAGGGCCCCAAGCCCATGCCCCGCCCAGCTTCCCTCCACATAACAGAGGGTAAACCCGTCCTGCCCGTGGGGCCAGTGCTGGGTCTAGGGGCTCCCCGGGCCAAATTCCGGGGGCGGTGTGTCCGCTGGGCACTTGCCTCCCATCGCCTTCAGTCTCCGCC